ATACGTCGACTAGCACTGTCACGACACACCAGCGATGGACCTCTTGAGGTGCATGAGTGCGAGAGTTGGATGAGAGAGGTAAGGCTCCTATTCTCTTAGCTGTGTAGTAACATTCTCAAGAAAATAATTCAGCACACAGCCGCTGAAGCTGGAATCCTTGAGGATGTGTCAAATGTCTACCTAGGTGGTCGTTTATGTGCTGCACGTCAACCAAAGAATGTTATCGAACCGCAGGACATTGGATCTTACTACTATAGACATTGTTTTGCGGGTCGAGGTTAGCAATACTTGGAAGAGAGAATAAAATTAAATTATAACTAATGTATTATTAAAAACTGCTCTATGTCTCTAATCTTTAAGTTGGTAAAGAATGTATGAAATAGTCAGAACGATTTTTTAAAATATCGAGTTGTTGGCCTTTATGTGACGTCGTTCTTGGGATAATGACACCTAAAATCTGAACTTTTAGCACATGTGGAATATTTCGGAGTAGATGACGAACTTGGCCCAATAGCCGTGAGCATGGTCCGTGAAGCCGTCGATAAGAAGGGTGGTTCGGGTTCAGCCATTTACCGGCTGATCATTCGGATTAGTGATGTGAGTGAGAAGGCGCAAAATTTGTTTACTTTTTATGAACAGCTTGAAGTTAAACACTTATGTGGGATTAAAATCTTTATTTCCGCATCTTTATCATCGTGATGACATCGATTTGAATTTTTCATCAATATGACTGCCCCATTTCACCAAAAACTGGGCTCTTCCATTTTTCAAAACTACTTCACCTCGACCTCTACACCACTTTGGGCCATAAACCTACATTTTTAACTAAGCCAACAAACCACTAAAGAATTGTGCAGCCATATCTGGAAGAAAGCATTATTGATAAATTTATTAACCTTTGGTAAGGGAATGTGGGCATCCAAATCAAAAAAAGAAAAGTCTATGTTCTATATTATGCTTGAAGTTTCCACATTGACCATAGACTGTAATTTATCATAAAAATGGAAGCAAATAAATTGCAGTTTTAGGAATTGCATTTCCCCTAGATTTAGATTGACTGTACGAACAAATAAATTTATTCCACGTATATTTACTGCGAAAATGTTTGCATAAATTGAATTTTTTTCCTACGTTCTCCCTCCTATTTCGTTCATCTTGGTTCTCTAAGCTAAAAGAATAGCATATTAGCATTTGAATAAGAAAATCCTCTGAAATAAATTCAATGCCCATTAAGAGAATTTTCGCCACTTTATTTTGGAACGATTTACATCAGACATGCATAAGCACGATGGAAACGTCATTCTCATTTCGTTATTCCTACCTCAATATATTGACAAGTTTCTCGAAATACTTTTGATTATTTCATTGAGGAGAATTTTTTTTTTCTGAATCGAAAAGTAGGGAAGTTGCCTGTTCTGTCCAGGGGATTTTTTTGAACGTGCTAGTTTGTTAGTTCTTAGGTTCAAATTCTTTAACTTTCTACATTTTTTTAGTAAGGTTACTTAGAATTTATCTTTTTTTAGCTGCGAACAATGCGCGTCGCCGTACCAGAGGAGGCGCTATCCGATAATGGTGATCGTTCTACGCGACCTCTGATGAGAGAACTCATGGAAATGGTATATCAACTTATAATTAACTATTTTTGAGCATTTACCAAAACTACCATATCCATAAAATGCTGGGTTTCATGAAATAGCGCAGTACACCTTCAAAATAACTTGTCGCCCATAATTTTTGGATTTATTTAGCCCATTTGTAATTGCACAATTTCCATCGAAATGTTATATGTCTACAACAGCTTTTTCCAAGTCGTAAGTGAGAAATTTATTCAGATTTGTCCACGGGTCAGTTTCGGTTGCATGAGGCCAGCCTTACAATCGCCGAGAGTAGAAGAA